TCTTTTTTTCGTACCCTAGTGTTGGTAACAGAAGTACGATAAAGAATCCTACGGACCATTCCCTTCCCATGGATTAACCAAAATGATTTAAACCTGTCACGAAATGGAGTTGTTCATTCAACAACCCATAAACAGAGAAACTGGCTGTACAACGAACCGGTTGTTAAAGCCGAATGGAGCTGCAACTCCACGCGTTCAACACGCGATTCTAAAATAAATCCGAAGATAAACAGTTGTGCCAATGATTTTTGCTAACACACCGGTGACGAAATGAGTCTCAGATGCGTTGTGTTAGAGGGCAAACTGGCTCGCATGAGTCATATATAACTCAATTTTTTTCGAGTTTATTCTGCTTAATGGAGCGTTTTTGGTGTAGAGAATTTGCGATCATCGTTGGACGTTTCATCCAAAAGAGATATTGTGATGCCATTCAACCGAAGAAAGCCATACTTTACACCTAGCAGTTTACAGAAAACAAAAGAGAAGTTCGTAAAAATATGGTTAGAGTTGGTCCTGTCGTCAGGTGTTTGCATATCTGTTGTACTTTGTACTTGCATCAACACCAAAATCGGCAACTTTAGACGCCTTATCGCTACTGTAGGATGGAAAGTCAGTGAGGAAACTTCTGTGGATGCGTTTGAAGTGTACAGAACGGAAGGAAATCCATACCCTGCGCACTGATCATAGATGATTCACAAAGTGTGTCTTTGCGAACGCTATGTTATCTCAAATTTTATTCTCATCATCTTTCACTGATGCTTTAAACTTTGTACTTTTTACCATCTACATCCACAATTTCTGATTTTTACAACTAACACTCGAACTTCCCAGTTTTCCATATTGCCTCGTTTTTCAGACCAGCTTTTCAGATTGATCATGCTACTGTATATGCTGTTTGTGCACATGGTGACCTCGCTGTAATTGTTGCTGTATTAATATTGTGGATAGAAAGAATTAATTTCCCAAGTTTAAAGTCCGCTGTAAATATGCTCCTTCACATCAGTGGACAGCATAACAATGCCGCTCCTGTCTTTCTATATACCACATCAGCTTCATTATAAACGCGACCCCAGCCATCAGTTTTCAGAAATTCTCTCTTCACTTCCACGTTGGCAACCCACTTAGGATGTCTTCACTGTTCTTCCTGCGTATGCTAATCAAGTAGGATTTTGGCGCAGTTTCTCAGCCTAGCACACACTCGTGGACCATTAGTCATCATGAAAGTGCTTCCTTTTTGACTGGTAAATTTATGGTTTTTAACTAAAATTTATATACGTTACAGCTAGATGTGGGTGTGAGTTGTATTTCAGAACAAATTGTTTAGGCAATGTATTGATGTCGGTTTGTCAAACAAAACACTGACCACTCAGTAGCATTGAAGTAAAAAACATTGAAGTAAAAAACTGTCTGAGAAAAGACAGAGTCTTGGTCGACGTGTTGGATAGCACGTGAGTCCGCTGAAAAGGTAAACGTGGGTTCGATGCATAACTGAGGTTCCGAGTTATATTCATATCTTGGCATTCTTGAGGTCGTACTTAAATTTATGGTCTGTCATGAAAAAAGAATAAGAAGCAAATAAAAGTTAATACTAATTAGACAGCTGTCATTTGCCAGACGGTGAACGACCTTCACTTCTAAAAGGACACCATCGAGTGATGTTCTTCGTTCTAGTGGTTCTCCTTCCCACCGGATTAGACACAATGCGACTAAGAACATTCATGTTGCAAGTATGAACGCCTGTGGAGACTTCACTTGCTTTGAGGAAACGATGGCGACAAATCGTTAGACCAGTACAGTCTTATATCAGTCTCGTTTAAGGTTATAATAAACTCTTTGTGCAAGTTTATCTGTGCAAGATGCAGTCAGTCGTGACTAATTTCATGCCATAATCGGGTATCCTACTAAGTAGTAAAATAGTTGTTTTTAAGCACAGGGTTCAATATATCAGCAGAAGATTAAAAAATAAGAATTGAGGACCGCTTTCGACGGTGCAACATGATAAATCATATCTGCGGAAGTGTATTTTATTGGTGTCCAGCGCTCCCTAGCTACAATTCTGATGACGTAGACCATTGCTGGATAACATCTCTACAAGTCCACTACGTCAAATCATGGAGAAGACTTCTTGAATGGGTTTCTTGGTATGTAAAACACGGTATGTTTGGGAAGTAAACTAGTCCGCGAAACAGTCCTTGAGTAATATTAGATGAATGAGATGGCTTTCATAGCCCAACCATTGGTATGGTGGCCCATGTCTGAAAAGCCGTCGGTCGCATGCAATAACTACAGGAAAAAAAACTGTATGCAACGAAATAAGCGATCACAAAAAAGGCATGTCGTGGAGGTGTGCTAATGTGGCGGTAATTCTTAAATATTAATAATACGGCCTACGATTTGAACTAGCTCCGACAAAATGAACAAACAGCATTTCGAGAACGTTTGATAAAAAAATCTTCTTTGTCCTTACTGTGGTCACTACCGATTATTTTATCCTGATAGCCATATAGAATAAACTACCATGCTTTCTTCTCAGTGCACCATTTTATGACTGTCGAGGAAATGTTAAATTTATTACAGGACAAATATAAATGTGTACAGAGGAAAACCGGAGCATTTGGCAGTTGGCAGTTCTGAAAGTAACACTATAACCGATCATATTCGTGAAGGTTATGGAAAGCAAAGAAGGAAATGAGGATTTGATAGAAGGTATGAAGTACGATCATAACGATGCTGAGATATTCGCAAAACTTCGACCCAGGGGCAGATCGAACCATTATTACCTCTTCCGTGGGCTCGCGTATTACACACTGCACCACGGAGTCCCTTGCTTTGCGTTTCCCTGAACTAGTTTTCTACCTAACGCTGCAATCAGCAATCACCGGTCAACGGGATTGATCTGGGAAGCACAAATCGGCACTGAACCAAGTTAAGCTGAGGTTATTATCGAAATCACAATGTTAATCTTTTTTTATTTCCTGCCTGCTATAATTCACGGTAGGATATGATGTGAAATACAACCACAACGATGCGAGGTAGGAAACTAGCTGAGAGAAGCGGAGAGCAAGAGCCTCCGTGGTGCAGTGGTAATGCGCGAGCTTCGGAATGGATAGTCGTAGCTCGATCTGGTCAGGGATCCAAGCTTTGCGAATATCTCGACATCGTTGTGGTTGAACTTTTCTCAAATAATGAATTTCAGAAATAGTTGAAGTTTTTGTGGGTTAACCTCGTGTAAGCTCAACAATATAAACACGTTTCAGAACACATAAACACAATATAAACATTGTTTTACTACTGAGGGCTAATGACGATCGGTTTCAAAAGTATTGTTTTGTATTCGTCATGTGCTAGCTTAACAAAATACCGACTGCTGCAGGGTGGATTATCAGTTGAAAAACAGATTGTCATCAACTGATAACCATATTAACAACAACCGCCTTGTGTAAAAGAGTGTCGCGGGTGTGTTCGGCTCATTCAGGATGCTCAACTGAGGAAGATCCGGTTCCATGGGAGATGAAGACGCCACATCGAGAAGAGGAACAACTGTGGATCATTGACAAGGTTCGTCAGCTCTGATGAAGACGAAGACGTCGACACGTTAGCCGAATAAACGTCTTTAGCAACCTGGTGTAAGTTCAACATAAAAAACACTTATTGGTCGTAAGCGGATCTAACTGTAGACCACCATGAACTTTCAGAATCAAACATGAGGACCGTGGAAAGCAATCATCTTGGCTATGTAGTTGACGACAGTAGACATTCAGAATGCTTGGACAATCATCATAGCCCTTCAACTAGTTTGGTCGTCGTTTCAAACAGAACTTTTTTTCCGCTTCTCCATGGCTTCTTGTCTGGCTGCGGTTCTCTCCCTTTAAAACAATGGGATTATGCGAAGCTTCTAATTTTGAGGAAGATGGTCTCCTTGACTGGTGTGTGGCGAAAGTCCTTCAAAGTGATTGAGTTTGTTACAACGTCCTCGATCGGACGGTTTAGTGATCGTACGATACGCTGCTGTTGAAGGGATCGACGTCGAACTAGAAGCAGGAAGGAATAAACTTCTTTTTGGTCTACGAAAACCACAGATTGTTTATGGTGAAGATCTCAGAACGCTTAAGTAAAGTTGTCTTGGGATTTCGTGAGGAATTATTCTCAGTCGACATTTAGCATGTCACTAGGGAAAGAAAATAAGAGTGCCTTAAGCTGCGACCGAAATTACACATTCCCCAGTCCATCTCTGTGAGTGACGGTTGCAAGCAAACGAAATCGATCATGGAGGTGCTCAGAACCCTAAATGTGAAGACGTCAAGGCGCCTAAGGAAGGAAATAAACCAAGCTTCAGATGTGACCCAAAAATTTATATCGCTACGACAACCCATAGACAAGAGGCGTTAGCGACTCGGTGGTCAGAGCTCGCCACGAAATCCCTGTAAGAAAGATACGATTCTCAACGACTCCCTAGAGCGAGTAGAACCTCCTGGTTTACACTCGCAAGCTACAAGGAGAACTGGAAGATTTACTGCCGCCAGTTCGAGTCACTCGACGATCAACAGAACAACAGGTAATACAGGTGACAACCGAATTCAGATAAATGGTAAGATGGAGGCAGTAGTATGAGAAGCAGAAGCAAACTGTAGACGAGAGAGAACGCTGCGGTTCAAATTCAAAAATTTGAAAGACGTTGCTATATCTTCAAGTTTGCTAAACTTGTGAATAGATGAGCAGCTATAATTGGGTAAAGATTTCAAGCGAATTATGAAAATCGCAAATCACAGATGAGAAGTAACGATCAGATCGATTGCGTGATATGTTGGATAAGTAACGCAGCATCCACCGGCACGACTCGCAAACCTATTTCGGGAAATGGTGGTAATGGCATGTTCATTACGCTGCCGAAATGAATTCAAACGCTATGTGACGTTATTTTTCAGATCAACACGATTCTGAACGAGAAGGGTAGCTTGAAGAAGCCACCTCTTTACTACGAACATGGCCACACCGAGGTATTAACAGCTAATACTTGGTGTTCGGAAAGCATATGAACTAATAACCTGCTATGTTCCACTGGCGAGTGTGGCATTGCCAATGACATTAGAAACAGTTGGAATATCAGTGATACATTTGGGAGTGGGATCAGCCACACACTTCTGCGATGGCAGACATACCAGAGCATCGCATGCTGAAATGCTTTTAGAAGAAATTTTATTCTAAAAACCTTTAGACTCTTGACATAATATCGCACTGAGAGAAGAAAGAGGTCCCCGCTTTATCAAGTAGCTCAAAGTGCTCTGAATTAGCCACCGATCTTCACCCTTTTTCCTTTGCAAAAGTCATCGAAGTCTCCAAATACAAAGCATTTGGAAGTAAACCATCTTGTGACTAGCGTTTTGAGATAAGAATATCAAACGTACTTCCGGGTTTTACACAGGAGGGATATTTTTTGCACGACTTTCCGATGCATGGTCGCGATCTCGCTACACAGATCTGGCCGGTAGGACATGAGATACCCGCACATCCTTGAAATGATGCAATCAATTAAGTTAGAAGGTCAGTAGCTAAGTGAATCTGACCATTGAATATGTCGGGGACGCAAATAAGGATAGGCCGACATGGTGGCCTCTTGCATTGTACGAATCGTTGGTCGCAGAACGTCCCAGGAGGGCAGAATTGATCGACACACTCTGCAAAACGTTGAGCTAAATCAGAAAATTCGATAATCGACGATTCCCACTTTTTTGAAAAATGTTTTAAAAATTGTCTTCAGAGACGAGAATTTTGGAAAGCGCTTGACTTCCAACCTACATAAAATAATGAAACCATTAGCATGTATCCTTTCGTTAGTAAGCTAACAAGGAGTTGACAAAAGATTTCTATTGAGCTGTAATTCCAGTCCTTTCGTCTTCTTCAGCGCCAGATTGATCCGAGTCGATCGTCCGCACTTGTCCCATCTTCCGATGTGTGTCTTCGTGATCGCAAGCGAGTCGAATCCAGTGGAGCGCTGCCTTACTGATTAGTTTTATTGTGCAATCATTAAAATCACAGTGAATTAATGAATTTTTGAAGTGGCGTGATCTTAGCCATTACCTCGAATACTTGGAATCCATGAAAAGTAACAAAATTTGAAGGCTGCATCTTCAATGTTAACTTTTTATTTACTGATTACCAAAATTTTTAATTTACATAATATCCTGTTGTGAAAAATTATAATAGGCTGCAAATAAAAGGTTAACATTGTGATTTCTCCTGGGTGATTGCTGATGGCACTGATCGGTAGAACTAGCCGAGAAAGAGAGAGAGGCGAAAAAAGGACCCGCATGGTGTGGTGGTGAACACGTTAGCTCTCGAAATGGTAAATAGCTCGTTCGTTCTCCACCGCAGACACCTGGGGTATGGAGCTTTCCAAATATGTCAGCATCATTGTGGTTGTTTCACATTGCGTTCTTATGTTGTCCATCGTAAAACATACTTCTCTCAATATGCAATTGGTCTCTTCTAATATACACATGCATCAATCATCAATGCTCCATAATTCAATCACATAATCCGAACTCCTCTGCCAGGAAGCAACCAATTTGCGGTGAGGTGGTGAATATGACCTGTGTGGCCGATGCGTTTTACGTCAGAACACTTATATTTTTTCTGTTTCTTAAATGCAGAGTATTGAAAGCTGCAGTTACAAGTGACTTTTGTATTGTCTTGACTTGCCTTTTGTTCTTCGCTTAACATACTACATGGATACCCTGCCGATGAGAAATGCGGAAAGCTAAAGAGCTTAGTGGATGGCATAAGTGATGCTTGAACACCTCGTCTTAGAAAGCTACAGGCAAGATATTCATTACGCGCTAAGGCAACGAAGTTGGGTTAAGGTGCAGCCTTTATAAAATTACAAATACCATATACCACCTCTCAACGGGCCACCACCTCATCGTAGCTAGGAGGTGATACTGGGTGTCGGGCTACGATGTACAGAGGTGGGATTCATCACACCAGGGTCTCGCAAACTGAGAAGGAGTGCGGCTTTTCCATCAGGAAGCTCAGCTAAGACTAAACAAATGTCAGAAACCACCACTGTCCTAGTATGAAACTAGTCACATGGTGACAAATCTTCTTCTGACCCACACGGTCTACGGCTGCCTGTGGTGGTGACGACCTGGAGCAGACTTTGGAAAGGTTGATGTTCGAACTCGTGGGAAACACAATGCTTACGCCGGCAAAACTCCGAAAAGTGGAGAATACGCTGCAGCCCGCACAACCAGTGAGGACGGGCCGTCCAATTATACAAGTGTGAATACCATCATAAAATTTCTCGTGCACACTAGTGACCTAATAAAAGACATCTGATATCTTGTTTTTGTTCTGTTTAGGCATTTCACGTATTCAAAGTAACTAAGCCTAAATCGTTCTCAAAAAGTGTGAGGATTTTGCTAATGAAGCAAAAAATGTGATAGAACACAAGAGCCTCTGTTATTTCCTAGCTTCTCTTAGAAGCGAAACAAGTCATGTGGTGATTTCATCGTTCACGCTTCATAAAACGAAATTTGCTTGAAGCCGTGTGATACAGTTGATTGGGTTCCAGGATGTTCAGTTAAAATCGTCAGCGCGGTCAACCAAGCCCACCACCCAGGCTGACTCAGGATTCGATGTTTTTGTTCAATAAACAGACACGAGGTTGTTATTATAGAATTTATTAGGATACAATAGCTGAGGTCGCCCATGTATTACTCTGTGCGGCTGCTATCCATCAACTAACTTAAATACTTACAACAAATAAACGGCTCTGAAGAAGGCGAAACCGCCGAAACGTCAGCTATTGTATTCTAATAAATTCTATAATAACAACCTCGTGTCTGCTTACTGAACAAAAACATCGAATTACCAATCAATGCCGAGGTTAACAGAAAGTCGGTCTTGTGTATTGACTCAGGATTGTTGTCTTCGAGCCATGAAAAGTACTCTCTCTTCTAACGACAGAATCACCTTGACACTTGAATGGTCCGTCCTCACTGGTTGTGTGGGCCCCAGCATCCCCAGCATAATCACCATTTATCGGCGATTTGCTGGTTAAGCCATTGTGGTCCCCTGGAATCCCGAGGTCAGCCTGGCTAGAGTCTGCCCCTAACGACAGAATCACTCAAATTTATTAAGAAGATGGAATAAATAGGATTGTATAATAAAACTTATGGCCAATTATATATATATATATATATGTGTGAAATCATTATTAGCAGACTGTTCAGCGCCATATTACCGCTGTACACATTACTATCGGAACTGCATCCTCTGTAATGCAAAAAATATGAACAATACCGGCTGCATAGCATATAAGAAATGAGGTGGTGAGTAAGTAGAAGACGAAAAACAACGAGCAGTTGTAGTACATCGACGGTCTCGAGTCAACGAGAGTGCTGCGGTCTTGCCGCTCTTATATAACTGCAGGTGCATCCGGTTTGCCCTGAGCGTCTTGTGTCTGCACTTTCGTTTTCAGTCATATCGACTACCCTCTTGTTTTCAACTGTGACGAAACGATGACGTACTACATTTATAGCGTGGTTGGCTAAAATGAGCATATCAAACCTTCTTGGAGACCTGGCGTTGCCGATTTTTCACTCGTATTCGTTAGTGATACGTCTTCTCTCCGTGAATAAAAATGAGCAGCCCTTCACTCCAAACGTGAACAAATGCTTATGTATGATGTGAAACCATAAAAAAGTGTTGCGAGGTAATCCAAGCATCTCCAGACGTCCAGTAACGCTGAGTGATTTTTCATCCCGTTTACGTAGCGACCAGCTTTCTGAGGCGTACCTTAAAACAGGAAGAATCGTTGGGTCGAAAAGGTGGTCACGGAGTCGGGTGCTCTTTGTTCTCTTCACTACATCTTCGGTGGGCTTACCAAACCACTTGTTTCTTCCTGTTCAACTCTGGAGCTAAGTCGATCACCATGTTGATTTCCTGACCAAGGTAGATGTAAATGGGGCACTCGGAGATGTTCATTGCGTCCAGTGTGAATGGGGTATAGGGAACCAATTCGTTCCTCATGAACACCGTTCGTGTGAGATTCAGTCGGAGACCAATTTTTGCACAGGCTTCATCAACGTTGGCAAGAATTCGTTCCTCTTGGCTAATGTCTGATGTTATAAGAACGATGTCATCAGCAAAGTGAACATGGTGTAATTGCCTACCATCGATTTGCACTCCCATTTTGTCCCATTCCAATGTTCGCATTACATTGTCGAGGTTAGGAGTAGATAATTTTGTCGAGGTCGTGTATCCCTCGCCTAACCCCTACTTTTGGGTCGTTATTAATATCTTTACATAATGGTAGTATTTCGGTTATGAACTTTTTATATAACTCACGAAGGATATCTGTACACTAAGTAGGGACACTCTGCTAGTCCAGAGCTTCTATCACCGTTTCTTTGTGTGGCAAGATGACGAAAATATCCAGGTCTCAGCAGAAGCATAGGAGTTTTCAGATTCATCTCCTTTACTTGTAATCTTGTTAATCATCGATGCTCTAGAGCAGGTACAGTCCAGTGGATTCGCTTTCTCTGCAAACACGAAGAATTTGATATTTTTCGCATGAGATTGTTTTCATTTCTCATTGCTTGTTGCGTTTGACGAAGTGGTACCTGTGAGTATTTCGGTTTATCCATGGATCTCGGTCACCAGGAACAGACTTTGGGATATTTGTTGGTGGCCTCTAGGCATAACCGTCACGTTCGTATATATCCCTATTGCTAATTCTTAACGGAATGATCAAGCAAGGCTAATTCGGGACTCCAAAGAAGTACGAACTGCCAACCAGCAAGGTGTGTCTTGTCGTATCAGTGACGCAAAACCTATTAAAACTGCTAGAAAACTTTTGCTTTAGAAAGAAGATTCTACAAATTGGCGCGGGAACAGGTTCCTTATGTGTTGTTTGGAACAAATCTAACGACCTCGAAAGCGAAGCCACTTAACGCGGGAGATATTTAACCGCACAGTGACAAAAGAGCAAACGTAGCTGTGACTCATTATTGGAATATTTAGGATCAGACTGTGGCTATAGTATTTAAGGAAATCGTGAGAATACTAAGAATAGATCAATGAGGGTAGAAGGACCGAATCGCTCTATGTCCAATCTTTTCGTTGAGGATTGAGTGCGCAACAGTTCCCTTGGGACCTCTCGCTTAAATGTCGGAAAAAACTGTATAATTAAAAAATATTACAATTTAAGTTGCATCAGGCCTTTAGCAGTTGTCACATGCTAGGATTCATTCAGGTTGAAATCTGCATGAAGAATTGTAATTTGAGTTTGGCCTCAAAGCGTGAGATTCAGCATTTCGTTCTTATCTCGACACGGTTTAGCGCAAAGTAGGTAACTCTCTGGATTTACGATATTGCGATATTCCTTTGCTCCCTTCAAATAACAGTAAAACCTTGTATTCATTTTCATAATCTCGGCTTGGTAGGGCTGAGAGACAGAAGCGGTCATGGATATCTGGACAGCCGGTGAGTTGCTACTCAGTGTATAGAGGTTCTTTCATGAGCTAAACAAAAACCCCGTAACGAAAACATCAGAATTTCGTAACGATATTAGCATCAAAGTAAAGAGGATGGTTCGACACTGTGATACGATCTCGCCAAAATTGTTTACAGCAACCCTTGAGGATGTTATTGCGAACGTTGTAATGGAACTAAATGAGAATGAAAGTCGATGGTCGGCAATTACACTGACACCGTCCTCGTCCTGCAGATGATATCGTTCTTGTACATTGAGCTTCGAAGTTTCATCGGCACATCTAAAACTAAGCCGGAGTCCTCAGGCAAATATGACTTTGTACACGGTAATGTAGATTGGCCGAATATCTGAAAAGAAGAATCGACTCAAAGAGCGTTCTCCCTCTTTCCAACATTACCCAGCGGGTAATGGAATGGATTTCCAAAGCTCATTTTATTGAGGCAGACTTGGCAAGCTTGAACATACACGTGTCATGGTTTGAGGGTACGGTGAACTCAAGGGGACCAAGGGGATATGGTGATGGGTGATGAGTTGACTTCTTAACTCTTCTCTCTTCTT